ACGTAAGTTTTAAATTTCGGTCTGTACGACTGTCACTTAAAAATTATAATAAATTTACAATAAGCAAAGTTAATCCAAATTTTTTTAATTGTTTAGGTAAAAAAACTTTACCGTGTTATCGCTTCAATCATTTGTTGATATACGAAGCCATCTTTTACATAAGTGTTACAAAGTTAAACAACAAAATAATTTTTGAAGGTATAAAGCATAACATACTGCTCTTGATATCTTCAATAAAATATAATTTAAGAAAACTATTGCCTATGGTGAATTTAATAACATTTAATAACTTTGTATGAATTAACCTATCCGAATGAGTATGATGCTATCGGAAAATAAAGAAAAGTGTAACGAAATCCGAATTATAGTTAGAACTAATCCAAAACAAGGAAATCTTCTTTTATATAAAATATGAAATGTTGAACAGAAATATGAACCGAATATTTATTAAATAAATATGGCATTACAAAGTGATTTTTAAATATTACAATATTTTAAACTTTAGAGACATTATTTTTGTTTAATTTATGTATGTACTCGTAAGTACACAATTTAACATAAATATTATATGCGTACCTTGAAACTGATCTACAAACATTTAACTTTTGATCGTGCATGTACTTTAACATTAATGCATTTATATTTCAACAAATTGTTCCAAGGAAGTGTATGAATAAATTTTTAGACCTTTATACATACACACTTGCGTATATTATGATTAATATTAAAAAGCGCATATTATGTTAATTATTTTTATTATACGCTTTTATTTAGCATAATTGCTTGCATTTCTACGTATAAAAGAAAAAAGTAGTGCGATATGAATTGTCGTGTTGCACTCTACCTGTGCGTCGTATAAAAATATTTTAAATTTAAATTAATTAAACTCAAACGTGATTTTTTATTATTACATATTTTAAAAATTAAAACAAAATCACATAAAATTTCATAATAATTATTAAACTTTGAATTCTAATACATTTGCATATTTTTTAATAAAAAATTTTTTCCTTCCCTGAATATTTAATTGCTTTTGATATTGCTTTATAATTATGCTTAACATTTCATTGTTCATATATTGCGTCTACCACATTAAATAAATGACTGAGCACTCGCAGTAGACATTCCGACGTCATATTTTAGAATGGAATAGCGGGTGTTCTATTTATTATACTACTGCTACTATTATGCTACTATTATGCTACTACTACTAAAAAATATCAGAGAGTCTACTTAAGAGGAACTCTTATATTATATTATATGAAAAATTCGATGCTGGGGAATCCGGGAATAATGCTTGTTATTTATTATGTTTATTTTGAACGACTATCATTATATTAAGAATAACAATAAACCGAAAATACATAAAAATTTACGTTTACCATTCAAATAGCAAAATATTAAAGAAGTAACTTGTCATTAATTTTTATTATTTATGTGTAAATTAATAAACTAAAAGATATTTTCAATTAGAGTCATTTAATTTGAATATTTATTTACATATACGTATATATAGTTTACTAAATAAACGTATAAGAGCATCTAGTCACGGAAATACTTCTAAAATGTTCTGTTATAATAATCTGTTATATTACAGTGATGTTCCAATAAATCGAATTCAAATGTATTAATTTGCAGCATTTTTATTTATTCTTCTCAATAGGAATCATAAATAAAAGAAATATTATAGTTACATCATAATATCAAGGTGAACAGGTGAGGTGAATAAAAATAATTTTTCAAAAATTTGCGAGTGATTATTTTTATTAAGTCCATTTACGTTTCTTTGTATACATATGTAATTTGTTAAGAAAGTGAACTAAAAAGTGGTTGAACCAGATTCTAATTATTAATTGCATATGATATAGTGTAGAAAATTATAATTTGAAAGCTTTATATACATTTAATTTATTATTTAATTCATTATATATGTTCACATTTATACTTAAATAAATTTGAAAGGAATTTAAGTTAGATTTAATAAAAGTAATTTCGTAATTAATGGTTAATTAATTCATTTATATATTAACAGATATTTTTGTAATTCTAAAGCACTTGAAGAGGAAACATATAGAAAAGTTCATTTTACTACATATATTGTGTCATAAATTTGCAAAGAACCTTTGTCTATTTATATATATATCAACATATAGATTATAGATTATTATAGTTTAGAAAGCATAATTGTAAAATATTATATTTAAATTATATAATATTAAATATGAATATTGTTCGATGAAATTGCGTTATTATATATACACAGTATGTACATAATTATTTATGAACTTTTTTTTACTTTAGAAATTGTTAGAATATAATAATCTAAGAAATATAATTAATTCGCCGAGAATTGGTGAAGGCGACGGTATTACTTGTTAAAATATTTTTTATTTACAAATTATACAATTTGCAATTAATTAATTTTATATTAAAAAGAAAATATAAAATTTATAATACCTGCCCCTTTGAGCATTTAAAATGAATTCCTTATTTTATTAGAATACAATGTTATACATATAACAGAATACAAATTCCAATTAACCAATTCACAATATAAAATCGTCTTCTGTTATTTTTCCTGATCAGCAATATTATAACTATGCCTGTGTATATTAATTATGTAATTGATGTTGTAATTATTATTTTTTAATATTCAATAATATAATTATTAAATATTTTATTAATTAATGAATTTTAATAAAAATAAATTATAGTGGGTTTTACCATTTTAGTATACTTACATTTATTCATGTATACATACTTTGATTTTATTTTATCTCAATTATCTTTTGTTTTTAAATTAATAATTTATTCCAAAATACCTATAGTAATTTATTTTCATATTTGATATACATATGTACGTATCTATATAGTTATATATACTTGAATGAATTGTAATCATAGATTTAATTTAATTAAAAAATATTGTTATACTGAAAGTTATATACTGAAAGGTGATTGCTTGATTGATAGATTCAATGAAAAAAGTGAAAAATTATTGATTTTTTTAAAGGCAAACGTAAATAAGATTATATAAAAATAGATAAGAATCTTAAGCGATCATCTTTATAGTTATACAGTGGGTATATCTTATAAGAAAGGATCGTAAAATTTAATTTGTAAATTGCAAATAATTGAAAATTAAACATTTTAATAGAAAATTTTAATTGTTCTCCTATATATATATATATATATTTTAAATATTTTTATTGTCAGAAATTGGACATGTCCTAAAAAAAAAACCAATAGTTTAAAAACAAAAATTAGCAATAATGCAATTGAATACTAAAGAAACAAGAAGAAAACGCTAACATTTTAAAAAAAAACACACAAAAAAAAACTCAATATTTAAAATACAGTTGAACCCTTACATAAGAAACTCGCACAAGAGTAGAACTGCTTTATTAGTAAAACAAAATTGATTTTAAACTTTCTGTTAAGCTTGTAAATTACGTTAAAACTTTTATAACACAAGTAAATTTGTCGCATTTATCTCTTTCCTCTCTTTACTAAGATCCATTTAGAGAGAAAACAAAAAAAATTTTAGCTCAAAATCTGACATTAAAAAAATTATCTACTCGAAATTTTATTTGCATATATCTTGTAAATTTGCATATGCTTATAAGCTGGCCCGACTGTATTTTAAAATTTAACAAATTGTTCGTATAAGTAATTTACCTTCATATCTTAAAAGTTAATGAAAGAAGTAAACAACAAATGTATACATAGTTAATCATCTGTAAAAAAAAAAAAAATTATCGTTTTTATGTAAACACTCACTCACTCTCTTGTTCAATAATTATTGGTAATCTTTTTATTTAACCTTAAAGTAAAAAATATAAACTTTAATAATTTTTAAAAATATTTAATTATTACTAAAATAAATTTAAATTTTAATTGAATACAAATACGAGTATAGCTATATTTTAAAACTTATAAGGCTCTCAATTTTTGTTCTCAAAATTTCTTTTCTAGCCCTAGAATTTAGTAGGGTAAATTTTCACAACTAAAACAAAATGTTTGAAAATCATAATTCCAAATTTAAATACAATTAATTTATGTCGTAAATCTTGTAAATTAATTTATTTCGTAAAATATACGTCTATAAATCTAGTTTCTAAAAGTCTTAATTTTGTAGTAAGTCTGCCTGTCATATAATCACTTCGGCTTCCTATATTTCGGTATTAAGTTTTAAAATTATATCCATTTATTTTTGAATATTCACATTCTATTTCTACATGCATTCATAATACTTACTTTTATATACAATGCATTTACGGTTATATTGACATATGTCATCCATTTAAATTTTACTGGTAAAATTATGTATATAGCTTATGGTGAGTTGTCTTCTGTATGACAATTTTTTATAATTACACAATAGAACTACACACATACTTTTTTTTTGAATTGTGCTATTTTAAATTAAAAAACTTGATACTCACTAGCGCCCCTCAAAAAACGTAGACCATTGTTTAATTACAAAAATTCTCTTCTGTGTACCACTAGTAGTAAGAAACTGCATTAATATAAACTGTAATATTTAGCACTAAAAGCATATATGTACATATATATGCATGCCTATATATAGAATGCATTATATATTCAAAAAATTATTATTATATTTATTTACAGTATAACAATATAATAAAACAAGAAAAAAAAAATCAAAATTGCGAACTTTTAATCTTATTTAATATTATATGGGGAGCTTAGGGTTAAGACGAATAATTTATTATTAATACTAAAATAAATTATTTTTATTTTTTTTCTTTTTGTTTTATAATTTCTACTTGTTTTTGTTAGTGTATACAATAAAAATTTTATGTACAATAGCTAAAACTTTTATCCAAACATTTTGAATTTTTTAGTCTTATAATTTTAAATAGTGTTAGAGCTTTTCTTTTTCTATTATTATTTTTATTTTTATTGTTTTTTTTTTTTAGCAGAAGGTAAAAAGAATGAATGAAATTTAAGCTTTGATTAGAAAACGTATTTGAAGTAAAATCAGTTGGAAATCGACGCGCTAACGTTAAATAACGTACAGAAAAAAAAAATAAATAAATAAATTAATAGAATAAAAATATTTTATATATTTTTCAAAAAAAATTCTTAAGGAATTATTGAATAAGAAAAACATAATTATGAGTATTTTGGACAATATTTATAATTTTTATCAAAATCTGGAAAATTATGCTGGTATGTTGTCAATGTCAGGACAATATTATATAAAATAATTTAAAAAAAAAATAATGAAATAATTAAAAAAACAAGTAAAATAATTGAATATATTTTACAAAAAAAATGCAAATTTTTAAAATAAAATACTTAATATATAAAAAATTCTAATTATTTAAATAAAGTTCAATAAACCGTATAACTATAATTTAAAAAAAAAATTGCCTTTTTTTTTTAAATTGTAATTAATTATTTTATAATTTAAATTAATTTATTTAATTGAAAATTCAATTAATATAAATAATCGAGTTCATTTAGTCAAAAAAAAAAAAATTTTGAAATTGAAAAAAATTTGTGTAGCTCTAAGTACCCTAAGACTATAATATTGTTATACGATATACATATTAAAAATAAATGAATAATAAAAACGGAAAAGATTTGCAAAAGAGTGTTAATTTTATGAAATAATTCAATTTATTTGGTATTTGAATTTTAAGTATGAAAAAAAAGAAGCAAATTAAAAAAAAAAAAAAAACAAAAATATCACACCTTAGAAAAACAATTTTTTTATGTATTTTAAAATTTAGCACAAAATTTATTTTTTATTCTTATATAATTTATTTATTTTTTTATTTACATATAATTTTGTGTACGTTACGCCACGCATGAAAAGTGAAATTTAAGGTTTTATTAAGTAATTTATGGCAAACATTACCCCAAAAAATTATGCTTTAAATTCTTTAAAGTATCGTTAATTTTATCTGACTTAATAAAATGAAAAAAAAAAAAACAAAATAAATTATTAATAAATAAAATTAATTTCATATTTTAAAATGTGTTTGTGCATATTGAAAACATTAAAGTTTATTCAGTATGGGTGAAAATAAAAAGTAATCGATTGCATTCTAACAGCAATTGCTTTTATTTAAATAAATTTGATGTAAACTTAATTAAAATCGATTGCAACCAAACAATACTACATGTATTATACGATAACATCAGTACGATCATATTTGCTTTCTATAGTATAACAATACATTGCCAACAATTAACGCCAATAATTTCTTCATACCTTTACGGCAGATTTATTAGAGCATCTGCTTAGAAATCAATAGGTCATTGATTTGTGTCCAATTCGATAAGAAAAATTTTTCTATTTTGATTCGTTCTTTCGGCTTCCACGTCATGTTCTATAATTGTATATAAAGGAAATTTTAATTTTTTATTTCCATAAAAGATTTTCGATTAATTTTGTTTTCGAAGTACAGAAAATCTTCATCAAATCAAATATGCTAACAAATTATAATACGAGTATGTTCGTCTACTTTTAAATATTTCTGAATTTGAACTCAACTTATTTGTGTATAATAAGATGAATTTAGTAGTTTTTTAATATGTATAACGTGAATTGTTATACTGCAATATTAAATTTAACAAGCATCTACTACTACGTTATTATTGAAGATTTTACGTAAAATAATATATTTTTAATTGCTGAATAAAATAGAATATTAAAAATATTAGTTTGCACTTATATACATATATATATATATATATATATATATATATATATATATATATAAATAAACGGTCTTTGTATAATATTTAAAAAAATATTCTTCAGGTTTAAAAACTCGATTGAAAAGGGTAAAATCGTAATATATTCGTAAATGAATTTTAATTTTAAAATTTTTCTATTTTAATTTTCTATAATTTTTTTCGTGTTTTTTTTTTTTCTTCTACAATGATTTACGAAAAAATAAATAAATGAATTTCAAAATCCGAATTCGATCATCTATTGTCAAATTTATTTTAGAGTTATGTATGTCATAATTATGTGTGCAATTATATCTTATATATATGATTGTTATTTTTGTTATATATTATTGTATATTATTATTTAGGCTCATGAGTTTCTTAAAACAAGAAGACGCCACACTTTCAAACACTAATAAATTATTTATTGAAAAAGCCGAAATTGTAAGATATAGTTCTCAGAATTCGACTATTATGAGAGATATATAGGGTTTGCAACAATGATATCTATATAACAATATTATGAATTAATATTATTATACAAATAATAATTATAATAAATAATAATCATTATTTAATAAATTTCTTTTATTTTACTTTAGTAGAGCAAAGTGTAATGCATAAATTTTAATTATAAAATATAATGCATATGAAAAATGCAGAATATTATTTCATACTTTGAAATCATAACCTACATTAAGGTCAATTTTTTTTTTTAAATTTTTGAAAATTAAATTGGAAGAATATGAGGAAAATAAAATAAAATTAGAAAAGCTATTATAATATTATGAAATCAAGAATAAAAATTTTAAAATGCGTGTCTTTATTAAATAATAGAACGATTATTATTTTATATGTTCTCATAAAATGTACAAAATTGATACTCGTAGCATAAAAAACTTTAAAAACCTTAAAATTTTTATTTTTTATACTTTTAAATGTGTAGACGTCGATTTGTAAAACTAAAATATTTGCGTTCTTTTAACCAGTCTACTATAGTTCTTTACTTTATAGTTATTGAACTATATAAAACAAAATTTAAAATTTGATGTAATTCCAATTATTGTTATATTGGCAAGTCTGTACAATAAAAATTTGTGCACTTTGATGTCAAATCACACGTTTATATTTTTTTTTTTCAAAAACGCATTAGAAATTCAAAATTAAAACGTAATTAAAATTGTAGTTTACGATATTAAATGAAAATATTAAAAATATTTTAATATTTATTCATATATATATGTGTTATATTACAAATTATAATATATTTTCAATTATTTTATTAAAAAAAAAATTATTGTCGTAAATGTGTTTTTTTGTAATTTTAATAATTACCATTAAATTTATAAAAAAAATGTAAATAAAATTAAACAAATTTATCAAAAAAGACAAAAACAAATACAAGTTTTTAAAATTTAAGAGATTGTTTCATTTGACCTTATTGTTGCTTGTGAGTTTTAGAACACATATATGTTGTATATTTTGCCATGTTGTATATTTTCTTTAATTTAAAATATATTGTGTTTGCCTACATTTGCATCCTAAACGTACAACCTAGAAACATTAATATATGAAATTAAAATATGCTATAGTAAATAGGCAGAATTTTGCACGACACAACGATAAAAGTAAGACTTCCAATCATATCAACACTGTATTTGAGGCAGAGTAGTTAGTAGCTTAAGTTTAAGAGAATCAATTATGAACTTTTATTGAATTGTATAACAATTACTACAATTAATATTTTTTAATTTAAACTACAAATAATTTTATATTTATAACTCTGATTTAAATTAGAACACAATTTTATAATAATAATTTAAAAATACTGAAATTTATATAAAACTTAAATTTTTATCTTATTATAACTTTAATAATTGATTCGAACAATAATTGTATAAATGCATATATAGGTGGTATATATTAAAATACATAATGAATAAAAGAAGATGAGAGAATCAATGAAGTGTAATCATTTTGTAATTAAAAATTGCATAATTTTTCTTTTTAAATCACTTCAAAAATTATATACAAGCTATATATAATTATACCAGTTTAACACTGAAAATAATAATCTAAATCAATATCATTTTACAATTTTTCTAATTTACATACATAATTGAATTTGTATTTTGAGTATGTCTTTATATTATACTTTAAAATAAAATGAAATAATGTTATATTTAAATATTAATTTCAAGTATATTAAATTATTTTCAGGGAATTTTTTTTAAAAATTTAGTCTGAGAGAACTTTATTCCAATTACAATAATAAAGTTATTCCAATCACAATTACTAACATTTAAGTTCTAGTATTCTAAAATACAATTCTAGTATGAAGATTATTACGCTGAACATACTCTATTAATTCTCACTATATTTTAATTTTATTTTAAATATCTTCCAAAATGTTATTATAATTATTTATAATTCTGAGTTAAATTAATACTTGAATTTAATTGCATGTTGAACTTATTAAATATGTTCATTAACATAATGTAAGCACTATATAATTATTTAGTCAATAATTTATTTTTATTTTCTTGCATAGAAGAGGTGTTTAATGAAATTAAACAATGTATTAATATAGTAAATTATAATTAATTAATTATAATTTTTTTTTTCTAATAAATCTGTATAATTTAATTTTAGTATATAAGTGTTCTTTATTAATTCACAATATTAGCTTCACACAATAATATAACATAATGATATATTAAAGTATATATTTTATAACAATAAATAAATATGAATACAATATTATTAGTTTGTTTATGAACATAATGTGATATTAGATACTTAATTATAATACCTATACCTCTATAATTTATAATTACAATAAAAATTTTACTATTTTTTTTCTAAATTAATTGAACTTGAAATAAGATATTTTATATTATATTTTATTATGATTTGAAAAATATATGAAACAATATGAGGAGATATATGTCACAATGACGTATTATATAACATAAAATATATAATTGCAAGCAAATTTGAATAACTTTAAGAAATCTATTCGTAAAATCATAAGATAGAAAAATTAAAATCATAATCATAGATTCAAGATTCATTTTTATTTACATTAATTTCTCTCAGTATCTATCTATATTATTAATTTATATTGTATATAAAATGAAAAGAAACATAAATTAAACAATAATTCTGTGATAAATTATAGTGTTATATTGAAAATTTAATTACGTCTAAATTATTTATACAAAATTTAGTAAATAATTAATGAGAGGAAAATTTTATTAAAAAATTTAGATTTGTTTTTAAACTACTATAAAATATAGTATTTCTATATACATATGTATGTATTTGATATATTTGTAATTATGTATAAAAATTTTATTTTTTTATAATAACAGAAAAGATTTTTATTTTTCTTGTTTCACTAATAATATTAATATGATTGTTACCTTATTAAGGTGATATATAAAAATCTACATATGTACATATATGTACATGAAAACCAGTTGTAGTATTCCCTAAAATGAAAATATAACTGATGAAGATGATTTAAATGAATAATCTTCATTAAATTTAAAGGTTTTGTCTTTTCATATTAAATATTGTTTCAATCTAAATGGTATTTTACGTTTATAACAACATGTGTTTTAACTGTTCTGATGCAATATTAAACAAGCTTTATTTAAATTATTTAATTATTAATAAATTATGAATTTTTGAATAAATAATAAATGAAAAAATCTTTTTCCAATATAATAAATTAATTATAAAATATGAATATTAATGAATAAACATTTGTTAACAATAATTTGCACTTGGTTCCTTATAGATAATTACAAGGAATATAACAATATCGTTTCGATTTATATTAATAAAAAACATAATATTAATTTTTTAAAACAAAAACTTAAATTTCCAAGTATTTTTATAATATTTTCTTATTTCTGGTATTCAAAATTATAATGAATTTCATGAGGTAGAATTTTTTACTGCGGGTATTTGTTTGTTTTCTAGTTGTTCATCATATTTAATTTGACTTGATAATTATGACGGCTATCACTAATATTCTTTTTCTTAATTTATTTCTCAAATACCAGAGATAAACTGTTAGGTTAAAATTTGTTTATGAATTGATATATTATACATAATTATTACAAAATCATATTATTAAAATAATTTAGATTTGATATTAATAGATTTAATATTTTTTTTTCTTTTTCAGATCCACGAGCAAAAGATTTTCCACTTTTAGGTTCAGTATGGCCGACAATAGGTTTATTAGCCGTTTATATGTATTTTGTACAGAATGTTGGTCCGAAATGGATGAAAAATCGAAAAGCATTTGAATTAAAAACTGTTATTTTAGTTTACGATGCTATTCAAGTTATATTGAATTTTTTGGCAGCTATGCTGGTAATAAATAATTATGACAATATTAATGAATATTTATATATGTATATATACCTACCTTCATATACATAAATGTAAATATGTACAATATATTAAAATTTTTCTATTTTTTAATGATATTTTTCAGGGTGCATATTCATTTATAGCATTATATAATACATTTAATATTCGATGTGCTATGCCAAGTCTATCTGATGATTCGATGAGGGGTTATATTGAATTACGTCTATCATATTTTTATTTTCTATTAAAAATTGTAGATTTAATGGATACAGTATTTTTTGTTTTACGAAAAAATTTTAGATTGATAACATTTCTTCATGTTTATCATCATGCTGTAATGGTGTTTATTTCATATTTTTATTGTAAATATTATCCAGGCGGTCATTCAGCAATGATTGGTTTAGTAAATTTATGGATTCATGTAATGATGTATGGATATTATTTTGTTGCTGCTCTTAAACCAGAAGTACGTAATTCATTATGGTGGAAAAAATATATAACTTTATTTCAAATGGGACAATTTGTGTTTTTGATATGTTTCATGTCACTGCCATTTTTCGAAGAAAATTGTAATTATAGTAAGACAATTCTAGTATTTAATATAATTCAAAGTGTTGTAATGTTAATATTGTTCAGTAATTTTTATATTAGATCTTATATTCTTCGCAAAAAGCCTAAAACAACATAAAAATATAAATTACATGCTTAAGTATTTATATTAAATATAGTGTGATTGAAATTTTATTAGATTAATGTATTCTAAAGGTTGGTTTTAAAAAATATAAAAAAAAAGAAAAAAAAAAATAAAAAATCAAAATTTTTTTTATTAAATTGTAGATATTCTAATTGCCATGGACATGGCATATAAGTATATTTCAATACTGCTTCAATGTGGTTTTATTGCTTTTTGGTAATTCACTCTTTTTTATTTTGTTCATATTAGAATAATTATTCAATTATAATATGTAATACGCGCTTTTCCAATAGATTTTAGATGAACAGTTTAATAAATTTTAGATTAATAATTCATCTAAAATCTATTGGAATGGCTACGTCCTCATTATACTATGTATATACGCATATAAATATTTTCTAAATCAAATAATCAAATTCGAATAAAATTACTATTTTAATTAAAATAATATTTCAATAACAAAGACAAAAAAAGGTCATTTCAAGCTCAATACGTAAAACTTTTTATTAAATTCAATCTTAAAATTTTCTAAAAGAGAATTACATACAAACATCTTTCATTTTCTTAAATGATAAATTATGTATGTATGTATTTATTTCAAATGTTTAACAACCTATTAAAAATTGATTATAATAATAAAATTGAATATATTTTTACAAGCTACTATTACAACAATTAACATTTTATAAATTAATTTTCCTCTGTTTGAATAATTGTATCATTTTTATCAAACTCTTCAATGTCAGAATCTTTATCACCATTAAAACTAGAGGTATATTCCTTAGGTTTTGCCCCTTTTCTCATTGGTAAAACCTCTAGCAACGTCTTAGTCCAACTTATACCCTCTGACACTTTTAATAGAATTTCGAATACTAAAAAATAAAATTCCATGAAGATTTTGATTTTATACTTTGTTTATTAACTTACCATGAACTGTGCTCAAAACAGTTCTAGTTTTCATATCTATATGCTCACTCAATGGTAATCTTGCAGTTCTTAAACCAAGTTTTTGAGCTCGATCCATACATAATCCTTTTTGATGATTATGATCAACAATTCCCCCAATAACATAAACAGTATTTTTTTCCAATGTTTCTAAAACATTGTCTGAATCACTAGTTAAGTACAAAATATCGTTTTTCGATAAAATTTCATGATATGTTTTATTAAAGGCCCATTGTACGTCCCAGTTTTCATAGCCATCATTTTTAGCTAAACTTTTATGAATTTTTCCATCCTTTTTTATTCCAGTAAAATATAGTTTGGCTGGAGCCAGAGATCTACGGTTAATAGTATAGATTCTTAGTAACTGCTTAACACACTTTCCTATATCTTTATCTATCATTAAATCGTCATAATCTAAATCAACAGCAACTTTTAAAAAATTTTTACTTTCTGCTGCTTTATTTCGTTTTAATTCTTTTCGACTGGGACCCGTTCTAGGTTCACCTTTTTCAAGAGCTTCTAATTTTTTTTGACGATATTTTTCTCGTTCTTTAAGACGTTTTTCCTTTTTTTTAATTTCCCATTCAGCGAGTTTTCGCAGCTTTTTTATTTGTCTTTTTGATAGTTTTGATGCTTCTATTGTTCCATCTTCATCCGTTTTCATTTCATTAAAGGTTTCAACATTTTGATTTTCTTCCACTTTTGCCTTCTTATTAGGAACATCATCACCAGTATCTGCCGTAAGTTTTAATTCAGTCTCCATGATCTAAATATAATTAAAGGAAAAATAATTTTAAAAATGATGTCGAAGTTACACAAGCCACGTTCTTTTACTTGCGAATTTAAAACATAAGTTTGATATCAAAAATTTGAGTACATATATGGAAGATTTATAACTAGTTTTCTAAAATTACATTCAAATGTAGTGAAATGTAATAATGACATCTAAAACTTTAAATTTACAACTGAAATTGGCATTATGTTATGCATATCTTTTCGAATTTAGGCCAATTATCTGAAAAGAACACATACTACTGTTTTTTGAAATTTTCAAAATAAACAAAATTTCATTTAATTGTCACAAACAGATGACATTTTGTGTTGAATGTCGAGTCTCACAATAAAAATTTCCAGTATCGATTCTCTTTTGATAAAAGCGATTATTTTAGTGATCCATCTATAGCTGCATTGAGGTAAGTATGAATCAACGAAAATTTTACTAAATGTTAAAAAGTTCAGGACAAATCGTTAAAAAAATACAGAAAATCTGGTCCAATCAAAAGAAAGTCGTGCTGAAAAAATTATGTGTGTAAAGATCACAATAAGAAGTCGGAGTTTTATAAAGAAACACGGTATATTTAATATTTGCATTTAATAACATAATTTTCAACAATTACAATATAACATTAGTCCACGGGCTATTGGATAAAGTTAATTTTTCCAGGAAAAAGTAGATATTGTTCTGACATTACTGTGAATGTTTTAAATAGATTCAACTTTGATCAAATAAATTCATTGTGAATTGTGACAGCAAAAACGTTTATTCACGAAACAGCTGTTATTTGACAGCAAATTTGTGTTTATCAATAAAGTTGTAAAGCAATTTTTTTTTCTTTACGTGTAAAAGAAATAAATTACTCTTAGTATTTTTAATTTTTTTTAAATATGGCTGAGGAAATAGACGACAATGAGTTTTTCAAACAAGATTTTACAACGGCATCCGAGTGGGAAATTTTCAATGCTCGCTTGGATGAAATATTTTTGGATTGGAAATTGCCATATAGATCGTGCAGAAGATCTTTTAAGAAAAATGAATTATTTTTAACCAGTTGGGAAACACGTTCTGAAAATATATTTTTTGCTGATGTAGAAATGATTGTTACTTACTATAAAGCAAGAATTTTTGATGAGGAGGAGGAAAAAAGCAATTTAGAAAATGAAAAAGTGCCATCTTCTGCTGAAAAAACTTCTCCAGAAAGCCAGTCAAAAGAATGCCAAACTCATTTAGATCTTATGAATTTCGCTAATAACTTTTGCATTTATGAAGCAAACTCATCTCGTATTCATCCATTAGCAATGTGGTACGGATTGCGTGAGTTCGTTGTTATAGAAATGGCAAATGGATCTCTGCTTAATGAAAGTCAATTCAAAGTTCTTCTAAGCTCTGCTTGTATTAGTGTTAATGAAAGTAACACAGATGTTCCTGTTTTTATTCGAGTGATGGAGAAGCATTTGGATGTCTTTTTAGGAGTTAGTGAGTCTCCATCAATTCGTATTAATTTTAGTATAGTGGCTTTAGAGAAAACTCCACCAACGTGTCGCTATTTATCAGACCTTTTGTGTATGTTTAAAGTGAAAATAAAGAATACATATCTTGATCCAACTGCGGTTACTGTTTCGGTTCAATTAACGTATTCACTCAAGGATTTTGCAAATCGAGATTTTTTTTTGAAATGTAAAATACCTTTTTCATCTGATCTGGAAGACAGTCCAGTCGAAGAAGTAAAATTCAAAAATGAAGGTACAAAATTTTGTGTTTTACCTTACGGTGTATCAATTGATCCAATAGAAGAGCTTGTTTTACATTGTACGTGGCAGGAAATTTCAGAAAATGTAGTTATAGATTCTGCAACATATTCAGAACTCAAACCGATGTTAGCACCATTATGGTCAATTCGAATAAATATAAAAAACAAACGAAATATTCCTATATATTATTTAACAGATGCTTTAGAAGAATTTTTGAAGTTACATGAGAATAATAAAAGAATAGGAAATATTTTAGGTAGTTCATATGATGTCGCGAGTTCTCAAAATTTTATTGAGGGTAATCCACTTAATTTGTTGACAGAATCTAAAATTCCTAATCTGAAAAGTGTTTTGGAGGAAATGGAAAATAAAAAAAAGAGTAAAAAGAAAAAACAATTAGATGGACCATTGAAAGAAAAAGAGTTAATTCAAATGTTATATTATATGTTTCCTGATGCACAATCAGAATCTGAATATCCTTACGATGAATTTGAAGGAAAATATAGTGTAAGTGTAGTTTTAAAAAAGGAACTTAAAATATATGAATATTTATTATCTCTTTTCTTTTTATGTAATATAGTTTGATCCTTGGAAAATAAAATCAGCTATTCCGGACTCTCTTTTGTTTCGATTAAGTTCTCTATTGGCTACAGTAAATATGTATTTTAGTGGTTTGTCAGCAGTAGCTCAATTATGGGCAGAATTCACTCAAGAGATGCGATATAGAGTTGAACGTTGTATTGAAATACCTGGGTAAGTTTAATTTTTATTAATATTTCAATTTGATTTTTAAATATTATAAAAATAGTTTTTATTTTACACTTCTCTGTCTAAGAGGATGAGGGATACGTAAATAGAATAAGTGTTCCTGAAAAGTTTTTACTTAAAAAAGTTTTTTTTTTTTCAAAAAATTAGTACTGTTTTCAAGAGTCATTTAATGATTCGACTGCTTTTTAATACTAAATATTTTTATTTCGCCAAAATAATTTTTCTTTAGATGTTTTAAAAGGGCAAATTATTTCATATACAATTCTCTCCAAAATGTTCTTAGTTACAATTTCTATAGTTCTAGTTTTAGCTTCCAAATACCACTCAGAAATACTGATTTAAAAGACGGGTAATGTTTGAAATTAATCGAATTCTTTTCGAACACAAAAGTTTTTCACCTAATTCATTTTAAATATGAATACAAAAATTTATTGTATTAGAAAATATGGATTTTTCTAGTTAGTACGAATCTCTGTATCTTTATGAATCTAGAAGTATGAATCTTTGTATTTCTGTGAATCTTAGAAATATGAATCTCTGTATCCTGTAAATCTCGCCTTATGGAAATATATGTCTTAAGATTTTGTTTTTAGCTTCTTCAAATAGGAAGTTGTATGTATATATTATAATAAGGGAAACATACCCTTTTAGTCTTTGGCAATAAAACCCTGGATAATGAATGTTTCCACCATAATTATGTTAGTTTTTCTTTAAATAAAACTGCAATAGTTTAATTTTATTTTAAATTTTTATAATCACTATACATGTATATAATGCAATATTATTTTTATTTCTCATAACATTTTTGATTATTCAACTAATATATGTATGTATATTAATTTTATTTGCTTTTGTAACATTTTTTCTACATAATTTTTGCTATTGATTCTTACTTTATAAATTTTTATAATGAATTTATATCAGTATATTTGTTTTTAATTGTGTGTAATAATTAATAATTGTTTTTTTTTCGTGTTATAACATTCAAGAAGAACATTTTTTATTTTAATTTTTTTTTTTTTTTTAATTTATGAATCTGAATAGCTGAAATCGTGCTAAGGCAGTTTATATTTATATAATATTTTATTAACATGAAATTCTTTATAAAAATAATAATTTTATTAATTAAATGATGCGAATATAATTAATAATATTGTATGTATAATAAAGAACATTAAATTAAATGTGTCATAATGTTAAACATTTTTGGAAACATGACAATTTATATTATGAAATTTCAAATGAACTTTGTTTTTATAAGAATATATTTAAAGAAAAAAAAAAATCAATGTTCTAGATTTATTAAGATTATTACTTGTAATGAAATTTTTTCTATTCATGAATTATTTAAATATTGGTATAAAATTTTTCCAACTCATATATGCTATTAATTAATAAAATTATTAATTATTATAATTAATTTAAACTATCTATCCTAATTAGAATATGGTGAATAATAAATTGGTGCCTTTAGAAAAAATTAACTTTATTTACATTTTGTGTTTTTAATTTATAAATTTACTAAAGTAAAAAATAAACTATTGGGAAAAATTATTTTCTAACAAGAAAATAAGAAATTCAAATAAGTTTAATATTGTACACAATTTTTGATATGATAAAAAAATTAAAAAATTTAAAAAATTTGAATTGAAAATTTTCTAAAATGCATTCTTATATACGAAATTTAAAAATATTTGTTCCCATTTTTATTAAATTATTTTTTTTTTCGTTTTACTCTAATATTTATATAATTATCAAACCATATTTTTAATAACAGCAGAAATAAAGAAGTTTAACTACATATTTAACAATTTATTTTTGGTGGAATAGGTTCTAGATATCACGCTAAATATTATTTTTTTTTTAGAATTTTTAATAAAAAATCTTATTTTTTATTTATAATCTATAGATTTGTAATCAATAAATTGAAATTTTGGTTTCTTTTTTGTTTAAAATCTTATACAAATAAAAAAGTTTTAATTAAATTAAATTTGAGAAAATTTTAAAATTATAAATTATAGTAGAATTGAATAATCATAAAGCTATTCGAACAAAAAAGTGCATTTACGCTAAAGATCAAGTTTTTAAATTTAACATTTATTTTCTTCTTTAATATTTTTTGTTATATTATTTATTTATTACTATATTACTAGTCCTCTTTAAGAATAGTGCATTTAATTTACTTCCTATAGATTATTCCAAATTCAACTAATTTGAAGTAAATAAATGAATTTTAGTTTAAAAAAAATAATTATGCTAAATAACCTATTAGGTCATGAGGTTCTGTGTCATTTATTGGTATTACGAGTATTGTACTAGCATAGAATACTAACAGGAATAAGAATTACGGGTACTTGAAATATTAATGGGAATAAGAAATTTATATTTTGTAAAAATAGAAAAATTTAAGGGGAAACTTTTATCTCAGACCCGAAAATTGACGATAAATAATGCAATTTAAAATCAATAATTTTTGAATGTATTGTGATTTTACTTGATATAGTACCTTATAATACAGTTTTACTGCATTATCTCTTATGCCAGCTTTGATTTTTATTTCTATTATATGAAATTATTTGAGTTTTAAAGTAATAATCAAAAATTGGTGATATCAGTTTGGTGTTATATTTCGTAATAATTATTGACATTTATTAATAAATAAAATAATCAGATTTTTAATTACAATATTTTAAAATATTAATGGATTTTTTTTGTGTTATTAATTTCTTAAATTTTATATTACCATTTTGAATTTTATACTCTAAAATCATTATTAATTATTATGATAATTATTTAAATGCTGTTGTGTGGGTAAAAATTACCATCATAAGTATTTATTTAGCTTATAACACTTACTGCTACTTAAATAATATAATGTTAACTTAATTTTATAAATATTATTAAATTTTCTTTTATTTCTTTTCTAATTAATTTTTATTAATTTTTTTTTTTTCTTTATTTCAAACTATTTTGAAAAATATTGTTAACTTTTTATTTTAATTTCTGCTTCTTTTTTTTTTACAATTTATTATTAATTTTTAAATTTTATGTTTTTGTTTTTAAATTTTATATACATTTATATATACTTTATTATAATTAATTTTAATTATCTTATATGACTAAATTTTCGTTAACTATCAACTGTGTTCAATTGGATTCTATTTTGATATGAGAGATTAAATTTGACTACTTTTCGAGAAATTTTATTTGCTTTATTTTATTTTTGTTGTTACTTATATATTTTATTTTTAAAAAATTTAATTCGAGTACATGTTTTATTTTTCTTATACTTTTTCTTTTTTAATGTGAATTTCTTTATTAAATTTGTTTAATTGTTAAAATTTTAAAATTGTTCAATTTGTTCTCTTTTTTTTAATAAAGAATTTTACTGATTTGTTGGTAATTTCTGCTAAAAATAAAAATTTTATATTAAGTAATAGTAGTCATCCGTCATATCAAAATATTTGTTATATATACAGAATTATTTTATTAAAAAATAATTGAATATATGGAATATAAGCGATAAAAATATATAATTTAATAAATATTATTTAAAAAATAAAATAAGCGTAAATTATAAAGTATTTAAAATAGGAATATTATTAAAAAATTATTTTCACTCAGAAATTATTTTACTCAGAAAATCAATCTTTTACTCAGAAAATGAAGAAATTTTTTGAATAACAATGATGAGGACATCAGGAATTATGGGTGAAATGTTAAAATAATTTTGAGTTAAAATAATTTGCTTTGTTTATTTAATTTACAAACATTTTCGTTCAAAATCTCTCTTATTGTAAATCTCTCTCGTAGCAATGAAATTTGGAGAAACTACGAATTTTATACGAGTATTGTGAATTCCGAAGTAGTAAAAATATATTACGAATTTCGTAATAGAGTAATTATGAATCAAACTCGTAACGAAAATAAATGTAAAAATTCTACTAATGAAATTTTTAAACGTAGAAAGCGAGTATTCAAGAGTGGTGGGTTAATTTTTTTGTAGGGAAATGTAAGTATTTGGTAGAATTTATTTTATTTACATATTATTAAAATTTTCTTAAGGGAAAACGAGTTTATTTTAATTAAACAATTTTTTCTGGATTATCTATTGCTTTTTGAAATGTGTATTATTTTTTTAAATATCTACTATAAAATTTGAAAAATCTAAATGTTGTCACTTGAAAGCTATAATAAAATAATGATTTTGACATTACGGAAAATAATGTTGCCATTGCAGATTCACAATATAAACGATTGAGATTTATAATTACTCTATGTGCGTAATTAGTCTACGTGCGTAACTTTCTAAAATTCGTAGAATTCTACGAGTAAGATTCAAAGATGAATTCTATTTGAAAAAAGGGTGAATAAAAATTAAATTATTTTAAATAAAATTTCTTTTTTATTGAAGAATTAATTAATTAATTTCTTTTTAAAATAATTGAAATATATTCAAATTTCTCAATGATATTTATTTATTGAAAATTGAAAATGAATAAGAATAATTAAAAAAAATTGTTTTATAAATTAATTTTGTGTTTTTCATGAATAAAATATTTATTAAATAAATGTTTTCCACTTCTCATTTTTTGTATATTTTTATTAAAACACATTTATGTTTTAACCACTTACCAGGGCATTGATTAAAATATAACAAAAAATGGCAGAGTTTTCACAATAAATTTTTATTTTATATACATACATATATGTAAGTGATAATAATAAACATTTTAATAATAATAGTAAAGTTTTTTATAATAAAAAATGCTATTTATTTGTTCATACAGTAAAGTATAAAAATAAATAACAAAATTTTTTTTTTTTGCTTTTTTATTTTTACATATATAGAGAGCAAAAATAAAGTTTTATTAAAGAGTTTCAATAAATTGCATTATTAGTGTGTTTCTTGTATACACAAAAATAAAGGGGCAATTTGGAATATATGAAATAAAAAATTCAAGAATGGAAAATATTCGATTTAT